AGGCGCTGAGCCGAGACCTGGTCTTGCTCTTACTCCCGGTTTCCATCTCCTGCTCTCAAGTGATCCTCCTGACTTGGCCTCCCAGAGTGCTAGGATTATGGGCATGAGTGACCACAACCAGCCAGCAGGGTCCTTTTTATTTTTTTCCTTTGCTCACCAGCTTCCCTTAGCCCTTGTGTATTTAATGTGTGGCTCAAGCCAACTCTTATTCTTCTAATTTGCAGAAAAGAAGAAAAAGGGTTTGATACTTCTGCAGGCCAACACAGTGGAAGGTTTTACTGATAACCAGACATCCAAGTCCTCCCAGCCTCGGTATGGAAAATTCCCAAATGTTCCCAGCAGTCTGGTATGCTTAAATTTTGACTCAAGAATAAGAAGGATCTCTTTCTTTACATATAAGTTAACCAAAATCTGTTGTCATACCAGGTAAGAGGCTATATATAATGGTGGTGAAAAGTCATTGGTTTGGACAGATTCCCCCTGAATTGAAGTCCTAGGAAAGCTCTCTCCATGCTTCAGTTTCCCCATCTGTAAAGAAGTAATGGCAAACTTACCTTAAGATGTTTGATAAGGATTAAGTGAAGTGATGCCAGTGAAATACCTGACTTGGTAGAAATATACTGGATGTATAATGTGTTTCCATTTCTGTAAAATAACAGTGTAAACATGTTTGTAAAAAACAATTTAGAATATCCTCCAAACTGTAAGTAATAAATATATTTTTGAGACAGAGTCTCATTCTGCTGCCCAGGCTAGAGTGCCATGGCTTCAGCCTAGCTCAGAGCAATCTCAAACTCCAGGGCTCAAGCTAGCCTCCTGTCTCAACCTCCCCAGTACCTGGGACTCCAGGCACCCACCACAACACTCAGATAGTTTTTCTATTTTTAGTAGAGAGGGTCTTGCTCTTGCTCAGGTTGGTCTCAAAGTCCTGAGCTTAAGCCATGCTCTGCCTTAGCCTCCCAGAGTGTTAGTGATACAGGATTCCACCACTCAGGGATAGACAGGGAGACCCCCCCCCATTCTCTAGGCCCAAGTGAGCTCAGGATTCAGACCCCCATTTCCAGGCACAGATAGACTGCCTTTTTCAGGACACATCCTCTGGGCTCTGATAAGATCATGCCTGTGATGGTTTTTTAGGTGGTTCCACCTTGGGTAGGAGCACACACCCTAATCCCTTCTCAGGGACAGACTGTAAACGGACCTGATAACCTCACCCCAGTGAAGGTGGAGCTACAGTCATTCATTTGTTAATGCACTCATTTCCACCTACCAATTGCCAGTCAAGTGTAATCCTCTAGACTTAAGACCCCTAGCTAAAAGAGCCCACATGGAGACTCCTGAGGGAGTTCTTCAGTTCTTTCCCCTTTCCGGAAGCTCAGGTGCTTTTTACTTCTTCTGTATTCCTTTCTAACTTCTAATAAACACTGATCTGTGGTTAGTGGGTTCATTCTTTGAATCCCAAAGACCAAGGACCTAATGAAGACAGAAATTCTGGTTCATTACGCTCTGCCTTGCAAGCAGTATCTTGGTTTAGGCAGTTGGAGAAACCAGGGGACTGCCTTTTTCTTTAGCACACGCTGCTGCAAAGTTCAAACTTTTTTTTGAGACAGAGCCTCAAGCTATCCCCCTGGGTAGAGTGCTGTAGCATCACAGGTCACAGCAACCTCCAACTCCTGGGCTCAAGCGAGTCTTCCTGCCTCAGCCTCCCAAGTAGCTGGGACCACAGGTGCCCACCACAACCCTGGCCATTTTTTGGTTGCAACCGTATTGTTTGGCGGCCCGGCTGGATGCGAACCCACCACCTTAGGTGTATGTGGCTGGCACCTTAGCCACTTGAGCCACAAAGTTCACGCTTTAACTGTGATGGTCATAACTCACAGCAACCTCAAACTCTTTGAGCTCTAGAGTTCCTCTTACCTCAGCCTCCCAAGTTGCTGGAACTATGGGCGCCCGCCGCAAAGCCCAGCTATTGACACTGAGTCTCATTCTTGCTCAGGCTGGTCTCCAATTCCTGAGCTTAAGCAATCCACTCACCTCAGCCTCTAACTCCAAGAATGCTAGGATTATGCGCCCAGCCTGCAAACTTTAATCTTTAAAAAAAGGCACAGGCAGGATGCTCTGGCTCAAGCCTCTCATCTTAGCACTCTGGGAGATTCAGAGAGGACTGTTTGGCTCAGGAGTTCGAGGTTGCTGTGAGGTAGGCTGACACCACCGCACTGTAGCCTGGGGAAACAGAGACTCTGTCTCGAAAAAACAGAGAAAGAATAAACAAATAAATAAAAACTAAAATAAGAAAAGACTTTAAAAATTCAACTATATTTAAAACAAAAAGTTGTAATATCAAGGTAAAAAAGTAATTTCTAAACAAATAACCGAAGAAAGCGAAGGCAGATACAGGTCCAACTCCAGAGACTGAGTTCGCACTGCTGCTGTCTTCCCCCAGCCCAACCCCACCCTAAAATCCCGGCCCGGGGGCTGCATTCCCGGGATTGACCAGGCGGTCCCAAGCCTCCCTCCTGCATAAACCAGACTGCAACCCCGCCGGTCGCGGAGAAGCGTTTTTCCGGGTGTCTCGCAGGGCCTGCACGTTCCCGAGCCGCGAAGAGAGGGTGTGCACCCGAAGCCGGGCGCGGGGAGGAGCCGGTCGCCCGAGCAGCGGCCCTGCTGAGTCAGCCCGGCGGGCGGCGCGCGCCACCGCGTGACCCGCGGCCACGTGACCCGCGCGGGCCCGGGCCACCACCTCCGGAGGTGCGGCAGCCGCGGGAGGCGTCCGCGTAAGTGGGGAGCAGGCTGGCGGGGACCCAGGCACCCCGGGGCCAGGCCCCGGGAGAACCGCTCTCACTCTTCTCCCGGGCGGGACTGGAGGGGCGATGCGACCGTCATCGGGGTGGGGGAAACATGGTACCCCACCGATGGCCGTGCGGGCCCCTTCAGCCCCTGGCCTTCCCACTCCGGCTGACCACAGTGCTGGGGGAGCAAGTGTTCTCCTTCCTGTGCGGTTGCCTTGGAGGAAACTGGGGACCCTCAAGGGGAGGTAGGCCGGTGGGTGCACCCCTCCCCTAATGAAAGCGCACACACTTCCTAGGCGAAGCTTGTATTGCCCCGCCTCCTCCAGTGGCCCGTAAGGATCCCGTGACCCCTCTGCTTGGGAAGAATCTGGGGTATCCGGTAGGATGTGGGGGTGTAGGGAGGCGGGGCCGAGTCGAGCTGCAGAACTATGATAATAGCCAACGTATTAAATAACTATGTGGTTTACGTGCATGCAAAATTTAATATCCCCATCGTGAAATTTATGAGGTAAGTACTAATGTCCCCATTTTTATACAGCAAGAAAAGGCTCGGAGAACTTGGGTTTTTTAGCCGGGGTCCTGAAGTTGGTAATTGTAAGAGTTGCGATTAGAACCCAGGTCCGTCCCACAGGAGCGCCTCCTGGTGGCCTGTGGGTGGTGGAGGCGGCCGGCCTAGCCTGTTCTCTGTGCACTGAAAGGTCCTTTTCCTGGCAGCTTGGGAAGGGGATTGCTGCTGGGTGAGAGGGACGTCCCCAACCCCATCAACCACCTCCATCCTTTTCTACGCCTCCCTACCACTGATTCCTTTTGTCACACCCTGTCTCCACTGCAGGACAAGATGAAGCTCATCATCTTGGACCACTATTCTCAGGCTAGCGAGTGGGCGGCCAAGTACATCAGGAACCGCATCATCCAATTTAACCCAGGGCCAGACAAGTACTTCACCCTGGGGCTCCCTACTGGTGCGTTCTTGGGTGAAAAGAGTGGGCATCAGAGGGTTTTAAGAGGCCAGGTACCAGGACTCACTCAGTCACGGGATGTCCTGGACGGCTCTGAGGTCCTGGTGCGATGAGAGAACCTCCACTCCCCCTTCCACATACAGAACAAAGGACTCAGCTTCCTTTATGGGTTGGTTTAGTTGCTGCCTGCTCCTGCTGAATCCTGGAGCAGAAGGGAACTTGGTTAGGGCGGAAGAACTTGATTTTTAGGCTACATCCAATGTTAGTCCTGTCAACCAGGGTTCCTTAACAGAATTAAGTCCTGATGCCCTAAGGCATCCATTTTGTATGATGAATTAATTTCCCTTCTGTGCATCTAGAAGGTACTAGCTCAGTAATATCCTTGGGAGAATCAAGAATATAGTCCCTCAGATAATTTTCAATAAGTCTTAAACACAGAATCTAAGTGAAAAACAATTCCAGTTTCTTTTTTTTTTTTGAGACGAATCCCAAGTTTTTGCCCTGTGTAGAGTACGATGGCATCACAGCTCACGGTAACGTCAAACTCTTGGGCTTAAGTGATTCTCTTGCCTCAGCCTCCTGAGTAGCTAGGACTACAGGCTTCTGTCACAAATACCAGCTATTTTTTTTTTTTAAGAGATGAGGTCTCCCTCTGGCTTAGGCTGGTCTCAAGCAATCCACCTGCCTCAGCCTCCCAGAATGCTAGGCATGAGCCACTGCACCTGGCCTCTTTTGTTTTTTTAATTTTCTTTTTATTTCTTTTTAAGACAGAGTCTCAATCTGTTGCCCTTGGTAGAGTGCAGTGGCATCACAGCTCACAGCAACCTCAAACTCTTGGGCTTAAGCGATTCTCTTGCCTCAGCCTCCCAAGTAGCTGGGACTACAGGTGCCCACAATAACGCTCTGCTATTTTTTTGTTGCAGTTGCCATTGTTGTTTTAGCTGGCTTGGGCTGGGTTCAAACCAGCCAGCCTTGGTATATGTGGCTGGCGCCCTACTCACTGAGCTATAGGCGCCACTTAATTTTATTTTTCTTTTGATATAAGAGTCTCTATCACCCTGGGTAGGGTGCCCTGGTGTTGTAGCTCACAGCAACCTCAAACTCTTGGGCTCAAGCAATCCCCTGCCTCAGGCTTCCAAGTAGCTGGGACTACAGGCACCTGGCTAGTGTTTTATTTTTGGTAGAGATAGAGTCTCACTCTTGCTCAGGCTAGTCTCAAACTCCTGAGCTCAAGCAATCCACCAGGCTGGACCTCCCAAAGTGCTAGGATTATAGGCTTATAAGGCATGAGCCCCTATGTTGGCCTCCAGTTTCTTTTGGAAAAAGAATGTCGTCTTTTTAGGAAGTTACATTGACTCCAGCCCCTCAAAGCAAATGTCTTAAATATTTTCTTCTGAGATGGGTGGATTTTCCCAAATGGCCTTCCCTGACCCACCTACTCTAGTGGGGGGGGGGGTCTTTAAATTTTTTCTGTAGATGACCAAATAGTAAATATGTTAGGCTTCACTGGCCATATGGCCTCCTTTACAATGACTTAACTCTGCTGTAATAGTGTGAAAGCAGCTATAGACAATATATAAATGAATGGGTCTGGCCATGTACCAATAAAACTGTTTATGGACATTGAATTTAATGTAATTTTACATGTTACAAAATATTATTTGGCTTTTGAAAATGTGACAGCAGGCTACCTTTGGCCCGTGGCTGCAATTTGCTGAACTCTGCACTGGATTGGCATCTGCCTGTACCTGTGAAACCACTATCTCAGGTTCTGTGGGGGCTGCGCTAAGATCCTAAGGCTGGAGCTACCCAACCTCTGTGTTGGTCAGATTCTGGGCTTTGCTAAAACCCCTTCCTAGTTCCCATCATGGCAGAATCAGATCCAGAATAGCATTTGGGGCCCTCCAAAGCCTGACTCTCCCTACCTGTCATGCTTGAACTAGAACAGAGTTTCTATATGGGTTGCTTGGAACATTTGGGTGGAAATCACAGAAACAAACTAAATTAAGCAGAAAAGGAGTTTATTGGCTAGATACTGGGGAGCCCACTGGATGGGAAGATTAGAGGTCTGGAAAATGGCAGGAGTGAGGAAATTGGTTCAGACATGGCTAAGGCCAGGGACTAATTATTTTGGGTGGGGTAGTGGGAACTGCCGGTCCTCATTTAGCAGGTATTTATTGAATGCCCTCTACATGCAAAGCTCTTCTAGACTCTGGGGATATACTAATGAATGAAAAAGATATGAATTCCTGCCTTCCTGAAGTTTAATTTACAGTAGGAGAGACAAACAAAAGTTAGAGTACTTCGGATGGTAACAGAGAGGGAAGGAGAAGTGAAGCAGGGAAGAAGGATAGGGAGTGTGTAGGCAGGGGTAGGGGTTTGTAGTGTTAGACAGAGTTGCAGGAAGGCTCTCTGAGAAGGTGGAATCTGAGGAGAGGCCTGATGGGGTAAGAGCCAGCCACCCAGATACTTGAAGGAAGAGCATCTCTGGTAGAGGGAACAGTGTGTGCAAAGGCCCTGAGGCAGAGGTGCCTGGAGCAGGGTAAGGAGTGGGGAGGTAGCCAGGGGACTGGTTACTGCTAAGGGTGAAATGAGGTGCCAGTGGTGGGGTATTCTTTCTTTCTTTTTTTTTTTGAGACAGAGTTACTTTGTAGCCCTCAGTAGAGTATGATGGTGTCATAGCTCACAGCAACCCCAAACTCTTAGGCTCAAGTGATCCTCTTGCGATAGCCTCCTGAGTAGCTGGGACTATAGGCACCTGCCATAATACCTGGCTATTTTTATTTATTTATTTTTTGTAGAGACCAAGTCCTGGCGTCACAGCTCACAGCAACCTCCAACTCAAGGCAATTCTCTTGCCTCAGCCTCCCAAGTAGCTAGGACTACAGGCGCCCGCTACAACACCTGGCTATTTTTTGTTGCAGTTCGGCTGGGGCTGGGTTTGAACCCACCACCCTCTCGGTATGTGAGGCCGGCGCCCTACTCACTGAGCCAGAGGCGCTGCCCTCCTTCTAACCTTTTATTTTGAAAAATTGCAAATAATCATTAAAGTTGCAAAAAGAGCAGTACCATTCACTTAAATTCCCTATTTGTTAACACTTTGCCACATTTGCATTTATATCTTTCTCTGGCTCATGTTCTCTATTAACATTTTTTTCCTGAACCACCTGAAATTAAGTTCCAGATACACTGACACATTACCTCTAAATCCTTCAGTATGTATCTCCTGAGATTAAGAATATTCTCTTACATACCGTTATCATGCTTAAGACAATGAAAAATGATGTTATATCATCTAATATACAAAGTCTGTTCAAAATTTTTCCCAAGTGTTCACATTTGTCTTTTATAGTTTTTAAAAACAAATTAATCAGTGTTCATGCATGTTTACTGTTTTATTTATTTATTTATTTTTTTGAGAAAGAGACTCACTATGTTGCCCGGGGTGGAATGCCGTGGCGACTCAGCTTACAGCAACCTCAAACTCTTGGGTTTAAGTGATTCTCTTGCCTCAGCCTCCCAAGTAACTGGGACCACAGGTGTCCGCCACAATGCCTGGCTATTTTTTGGTTGCAGTTGTTGTTTAGCTGGCCCGAGCTGGGTTCAAACCCGCCAGCCACATACACCGAGGGCTGTTCTATGGGCGCTTATGAGCCTTATTTACTGTTTTAATACACAGTGTCCTCCCTTCTACTATATGTGTTTTATGACATTTTTTATTTTATGTTATTTTATTTTTGAGACAGAGTCTCACTATGTTGCCCTTGGTAGAGTGCTGTGGTTGTCATAGCTCACAGCAACCTCAAACTCCTGGGCTTAAGCGATTCTCTTAGCCTCTCAAGTAGCTAGGACTATAGGCTCCCACCACAATGCCCGGCTATTTTTTTGTTGTAATTGTCATTTGGCAGGCCTGGGCTGGGTTCGAACCCGCCAGCTCCATGTACGTAGCTGGCGCCTTAGCCACTGAGCTACAGGCGCTAAGCCTATGACATTTTTTAAGTGAGACTCAGGAGCTGGCTGCTCCTGAAGTAAGTCTTGCCTTTGCTTCCCTGTCACAGCTGACATTCCTGCTTTGTGTCCCTACTCCTAGATAGTGAGCTCTTCTAGGGTAGCTACTGGTCTTGTTCCTCTGCACCTTTGTTGCATGGTCCTGTGCCTGGCATGTGGTTGTTCAGGGCATATGTCAGTTAAACCTGATGTTTACTCAGGTGCTAATCAGAGTGGTTTCAATCATCAGTGTGCTCAGCACTGGGGATTCAGCTGTCAGTAAGACAGACGTGGCCCTGTGTTCGTGGAGCTTTCAGTCTATAGGGGAAATAAGCATTAAACAAGCAGTTAGTGGATGGATGGCAGTTAGGGTTAGAGCCTTTGGTTGGACTTCGTATCTGACTAGTTTCCCTCAGATCTGACAGGTCTTGTCGAGCAGCCCTGATTTCATTCTTGTCTGCTCCCTGGGCTTCCTGGAGCTAGGGGCTGAAAGGACATTCATGCCTGTGGCCTCTCTTGCAGGGAGCACCCCACTTGGCTGCTATAAGAAGCTGATTGAGTACTATAAGAATGGCGATCTGTCTTTTAAGTATGTGAAGACCTTCAACATGGATGAGTATGTGGGTGAGTCTTTAGTTTTCAAGGTTCTTACCTGGTCCAGCTCTGGAGAGAAATGGTGATGTCTCAAGGAGCCAGTGACATTTGGTGATAGGCTTGGGTATCAGCACCTATTTCTTTCTAGCCTTAGTTTACTCAGTTATAAAATAGGGCAAATAAAGCTGCCACCATAGGTTGCATTAAATACAACATATGTGAAAATTTCTTGTATATAATAGTAAATATTAGAGCTCTTTCCGCCATCTTGGGGCCTGTTCTTTTTTTTTTTTTGGCCAGGGGCTGGTTTTGAACCTGCCACCCCTGGTATATGGGGCCAGGGCCCTAACCCTCTGAGCCACAGGCGCCATTGGTGCCTGTTCGTAAAATTGAAGGTGTTTGTGCCCGAGATGAAACTGAATTGTATTTGGGCAAGAGGTGTGCTTATGTATACAAAGCAAAGAACCACACAGTGACTCCTGGCAGCAAACTAAACAAAACCAGGGTAATCTGGGGGAAAGATAACTTGGGCCCATGGAAGCAGTGGCATAGTTCGTGCCAAATTCCGAAGCAACCTTCCGCCTAAGGCCATAGGACACAGAATCTGTGTGGTGCTGTACCCCTCAAGGATTTAAACTGATAAAAAGTAAATAAAAGTGGATTTGTACTGTTGTATTTTTATTAAAAATAATAATAATAAATCCTAGAGCATCTCTGCCTGCTGGCTCCCCAACTCCATGCCATTTCTTTCTGGAACAAATGATTACAAATGGGTCCTGGCTGGGGTGTGTCCGCAGGGTGCATCCTCTAGCTCCCCTTTCTGCATTTGCAAGGGAGCTAAGACTGGTGTTCTTCCTGCTGCTGAGAAGCTATTACCTTGGTCTGTCCCCTCCTCTCCCTCTCAGTCATTGTAAGGGCTTCATTTTCAGTGCTTTTTTAAAAAAAAAAATTATGATAAAATACACATAACACAAAATTTACCATCTTAGCACTTTTATGTGTACAGTTCAGTAGTGTTAAGTACATCCACATTGTTGGGCGCCTATTTCCAGAACACTTTTCATCTTGTAAAACCCACTGAGCAGCAGCTTCTCACAGCCCCAGAAACCACCATTTTACTTTCTGTTTCTATGAGTTATAAGCAGAATCATAAAGTATTTGTCTTTTTGTGACTGGCTTCTTTCAGTGGCAAAATGTCCTCAAGGGTCACGCATGTTGTAGAATCTCCCCCCTTTTTAAGATTGACTTAACTATTCTTTTTTTAAAGCTGTATCTCTATTCTTTTTTTAAAAATTTATTTTTAATAGGCTTAGGAGGTATAAGTTGAATTCTGTGACATTTATATTTTATATAGTGGTAGAATCTGGGATTTGGTGTACAGATCACTCAAGTAGTGTCCATCATTGTATCACCTCACAGATAATTTTTTTTTTTTTGTAGAGACAGTCTCACAGTCTCACTTTATCACCCTCAGTAGAGTGCTGTGGTGTCAGCTCACAGCAACCTCCAACTCTTGGGCTCAAGTGATTCTCTTGCCTCAGCCTCTCAGGTAGCTGGGACTACAAGCACAATGCCTGGCTATTTTTTTGTTGCAGTTGTCATTGTTGTTTAGCTGGCCTGGGCCAGGTTCAAACCCTCCAGCTTTGGTGTATGTGGCTGGAGCCATAACCACTGTGCTACAGGCGCTGAGCCAACTTTAAATATTCTTAATGCTTAATGTAAACATCATATATTCTCTTTAAACATTATTTTCCTTCCTGGCTGTGGGGAAAAACCAAAAACCATTTTGGGAAGCCCTGAGATAATTCTCTCCAGCCACCTGATGTTCAGGTTGGGATTCAGGCTGAACAGGGTATAAGGGAGGGTGGGTGGTGGAGTGGAAGACATGGGGTGAAAAGTGTGCTTGCTTGCTTTCCCAGATGGGCCCAGTTCTACCCCAGTGACCAGGCCACCTCCACAGGCCAGAGTATCCCCAGCCTCTAGCCTATGAACATTCTCTTGTGAAAAAGAGATCAGAGTGAGGGAGCTTCCCAGACCTCTGGCAAGTAACTACTCCAGTCCAGCCCTGTGGCCACTTATGGATACCAGCTCAGACTGTCCCAAGTGGCTGGAGGTCAGAGAGCTGGTATCCAGGACACCCTGATGATGGGCACTCCCCTGAGTTTCTTTGCAGGTCAGAATGAAGTCTTGCCATCCTACTTAGAAGGAGAGCTCCAGCTCAGCTTAAGTGTGACTGAGTGTCCCTTTGTCCCCACAGGCCTTCCTCGAGATCACCCAGAGAGTTACCACTCCTTCATGTGGAACAACTTCTTCAAGCATATTGACATCCACCCAGAAAACACCCACATTCTGGATGGGAATGCAGCTGACCTACAGGCTGAATGTGATGCCTTTGAAGAGAAGATCAAGGCTGCCGGTGGGATCGAGCTATTTGTTGGAGGTGAGTATTAGAAGGAGGAGGATAAGACGCCATGTCTGTCTTCAAACGGGCTCCTCTGTCTGCTAGTGACAATAAACAATAAAGTCACTTACCACTGTATCAGTGGTTCTCAACCTTCCTAATACTTGGCCCTTTAATACAGTTCCTGTGGGTCAAGACCCACAGGTTGAGAACTGTAGCACTTTTGGAGACAGGGAAGGCATGGAGAAAGTGGGAGCCCTAAGTCCTTGGCTCTGCTATTCAGGAACTGGGTTACCTTGGAGACCTCCACTTTTACTTAAACTTATACTTTGTCTGTAAATTGAGAAGTCTGGTTTTGGACTCTGAGACTGGGTACTCCCCAGTCTTCAGGTTTTATTGGTCAGTCATAGAATTTATCTAAACATAAAGTCATGAACTCATATAGTTCTAGAAGGTTCCACACAGTCCTTACATGCTGTGGATAGCCAAATGAATCCCAGAGGAGTCATGTGACTTAAAGTCAGCCAGCTGGCAGCAAGGGACGCAAAGTGGGAACCTCAGGAGTCTATCTCTCAGAGCTCTTTTTTTTTTTTTTTTTTTTGAAACAGAGCCTCAAGCCATTGCCCTGGGTAGAGTGCAGTGGCATCATAGCTCACAGCAACCTCCAACTCCTGGGCTTAAGTGATTCTCTTGCCTCAGCCTCCCAAGTAGCTGGGACTACAGGTGCCAACAACACCTGGCTATTTTTTTGGTTGTAGTTGTCAATTGTTGTATGGCAGGCCCGGGCTGGATTTGAACCTGCCAGCTCTGGTGTATGTGTCTGGCACCTTAGCCGCTTGAGCTATAGGCGCTGAGCCTCAAATCTCTTCTGGGTGTGTTTTATTTGCTCCAACTATATCCTAGCAGTAGGACCCCCTGACCATAGGTAGCAGAGACAGAGAAGTTACATCTTTCTGACAATCTGGGGAAGCTACTGTTTTCCCCAAAAATAAGACACTGTCTTATATTTATTTTTTCTCAGGAAGACACACTAGGGCTTATTTTCAGGGGATGTCTTATTTTTATTAAGTATAATACAACAATCTACATTTATTCAAATACAGTTAAGTCATGTTCTTCTGGAACCTGACAGGGGGGAGCTGACCTTGTTGGTGGGGCCGGCACTAGTGATGCGTGAACTCCTTTCCCCTAGCCGTTCGCACGTACGCAATAGGATGCCTGCCAACGCAGTTACCACCTGCACACCTGCCCAAGTGCGAAAGGCTCAGAGAAAGGAGCTATGGCAGATAAAAGGTATTCCAGTCTTCCTTACTGCTCCACGCCAAAATGCATGGTGTGGCTATGCAGCATATCTGCATAGGCGTATCCATCACTATGTCTTATTATCGGGGTAGGGCTTATATTTAACAAATGCATAGAAATCCTGCTAGGGCTTATTTTTTGGGTAGGTCTTATTTTTGGGGAAACACAGTATTGACAGTGCTCTTTACTTAGCTTTTTGAGGGTAATAACAAGTCAACAGTGTCTGTGTGTACCTCAGACAGAAGTGGCTAGGAGTGGGGCAGATCACATGCTTAAGGTGTACCTGACCAGGGTTACAATGGGGAAAGAGATATAGTTTCCAAGGACTTTTGTTCAGACTCTAGTTAGGGAAGGAGAGATTGTCCATTCTTGAAATGTTGGATTCCTAGCACTCACTGTACTGCCTGGCTTTCTCCTTGTAGGGATTGGCCCCGATGGACACATAGCCTTCAATGAGCCAGGCTCTAGCCTAGTGTCCAGGACCCGTGTAAAGACACTGGCCATGGACACCATCCTGGCAAATGCCAGGTTCTTTGATGGAGAGCTGGCCAACGTGCCCACCATGGCCCTGACAGTGGGTGTGGGCACTGTCATGGATGCTAGAGAGGTAAGGGTGCAGAGGTAGGGTGGAATTGTCTTTTTATTGTTAAATTTTATTAAAGATGAAGAAAGACATTATAATAGAGGCTAAATCCCAGTTCCTCTTTCCTCTCCAGATGTGACCATTGTTCCCAATGTGAGGAGAGTTCTTGGAGTACTTTTTTGATGCCTTTGACCAACTACCCAGGGGCTTCAGGCCCTCTGGCCTCTGCTTATGTGCCCCTTTGTGCTTCTCATGGGCAGAGAGAAGCCCAGCATCACTGATGTTGCAGTGTGAATTTGTACCTGCCTAGGTACTGAGAGAGGGACGCTCTTGTTGCCTAGTGGTGGTCACTGTTTGAAGGGATGCCTAGGAAGCTTGTGGTTAGAAGATTAATAATGCTCTATGCTCAGATTAATAAATACAGTGAAGTGTGATTAAAATGAAAGTGTCTCAAACTGATTGAGTTCCCCCAAAATGTGGGGTATCATTTGAATTTGAATTTTTTGTGGTTCTATTTTCCTTACTTTAATTAGAATTTCAGAAGTATTTTTTTCCTTTCTGAGGTATATTCAATAGGAAGCAACTATAGACATTTTAGCTGTAAATTTCTTTACCCAAGCCTATAAATAGGCATCTATATCAACGAACAGATCTCTGATTAAAGTGAACTTTTGTGAAATGAGTAATGATACACAGATGTCTGTTAAGTAGCCTCAAATCAATACCTAGGGCAGGCGTCCTCAAACTGTGGCCTGCCTAGGACATTTATCTGGCCTGCTGGGTGTTTTTGCCACTGCTGCCTGTCTGGCTTAGCAGCCAAATCATTCCAGGGCTTGCAGTCCGGCCCTCTAGTGGTCTGAGGGACAGTGAACTGGCCCCCTGTTTGAGAAGTTTAAGGGGTTAAACACTAGGGCTTGAGGGCTGTCATTACCATGTGAGATTATCTTGATTTGGGAAAGGACCTGTAGCTGGAAATCAGGAAATTCTCTTTTCTAAAATGAGTTCTGGCCTGGGCATAGTGGCTTATGCCTGTAATCCCAGCACTTTGGGAGGCCAAGTCAGGAGGATTACTTGAGGCCAGCCAGGTATGGTGACCCACATCATAAATAATAAAATAAATAAATGAGTTCACAGTTGCTGAGGTGTCCTGAATAGTCACCTTCTCTCTATGCCTCTATGTTCTCATCTTTTTTTTTTTTTTTAGACGGAGCCTCAAGCTATCCCCCTGGGTAGAGTGCCATGGCATCACAGCTCACAG